TGTTTATCGGATTTAGCAATTTATGTGTTAAATGGTCAGGGGTATCACGCATCTGGTCCTTGAAAGCCCGTAAAACAAAGATAGTTTTGTATCCTAGTTTGAGTTAGGGTTTAAGCACTGTTTTTATTTGAGTCTCTTGAGACGATACGCTAGATAGTACAGGAACTGCTTCAACACTTCACTGACCCTGCATGAGTTTTACGACCGCAGCTGGCTGCATAAGGGCTCCTCAGTTTGTCTCAATGGAATGTGACTGTTTCATGTGTGACTCAATAGTGTAAGTGGGTCCATTCGAAGACAGAGATCCTACATACCTATGTCATACCTTTGTCATTATACAAATTTATGTCCTCATTTGTCACAAAAACGCGCGCGCGCGCACACACACACACACACACACACACATACACACACTATCAATGTTGGAAACAGTTATGCTGCTTAATTTTTTTTGTGGAAACCGTGATATGTTTTTATCAGGATTCTTTGATGAATAAAAAGTTAAAGAACACCGCATTTATTTGAAATACAAAAGTAATGTAGCAAAGTCAAAGTCTTTGTCATGTTTCATGATTTTAATTCATCCTTGCTGAATAAAAACATGAATTACTTTAAAAAATAATTCATTCACACTTAGCCCAAGACTGGTTGCCCACTGAAGCTAAGCAGGGTTGAGCCTGGTCAGTACCTGGATGGAAGACCTGCTGGGAAAACTAGGTTGCTGCTAGAAGAGGTGTTAGTGAGGCCAGCCCCTGCTGGTGCTCATCCTGTGGTCTGTGTGGGTCCTAACACCCCAGTGTAGAGACGGAGACACTGTACTGACCAAAAGCACCGTCTTTCGGATGAGATGTTAAACCGAGGTCCTGACTCTCTGTGGTCATTAAAAATCCCAGGATGTTCTTCGAAAAAGAGTAGGGGTGTAACCCCGGCATCCTGGCTAAATTCGCCCATTGGCCTCTGACCATCATGGCCTCCTAACCATCGCCATATCTGCTGATTGGTTTCATCACTCTGTCTCCTCTCCACCAATAAGCTGGTGTGTGGTGGGCGTTCTGGCGCAATATGGCTGCCGTCGCATCATCCAGGTGGATGCTGCACACTGGTGGTGGATGAGGAGATATGTTACAAAATATTTCAATTTCCAATAAATGATTAAATTGTGTTCTTTTGAACTTTCTATTCATCAAATAATGCTGACAAAACATTGAACTGTAGTGTATATAAATACATGTATAAATATGAAATTAGTATTTTTAGTATAAATAGAATATTATATATATTTTTAGAAGTATAGTAGATTTTTTTTTTTGCCTTATATTCCTAGAAACAGTGAGATTGTAGGAACGAAGGGAAGGGGAGTAGACTGAAGGAAAGTATGATTAGATCGGAAAATGTCAAGCCGGATTCAAATTTGGGTCGTCTGCGCAAAAATACCAATGCATGTGCTCTACCCTGCAGGTCAATTCTCTGACATCCAACTCACATTTTTCATAGTTCTGTCTGGCTCCATACTACTATTTGGATTCCAGTTCTATTTACACCAAGTGCAGTATTTTTTTTATTTATGAATGTAGGCCGTACTCTTTGTAGGAATTAATATTCCACAGGATTCATTGCTTAAGAATTGACTGGATGGGTCATATACCATGTAGAATTCAAGCTTCTTTTTCGGTTGGCAAAACTTCATATGATGGATAGCCATTTAATGAACAGACACAAACAAAGTCAGCCAAGTCAAGAAAGGTTGAGATGAGTGGTGCGGCACATATGGAGCTTTGAGACAAGAAGGTGAGCAGCACTTACCACCTGACCATTTTGAGGGTTCTTGTGGGCATATGGAGGACCACGAATATGATTCCACATCTGACCTGAAGTCATGGCAAACACCACGCACTGTGGAAAAAAAAAGGGAGAGAAAGATTGTGAGTACATTAGCTGAGTGATATGGTGATACGATGAGAATGACAAACAGACAGAGTGAGCGATAAAGATCGATTACATTCTTATAGCCTGGAAAAAAGAGAAAGCTTGCCCTTATAATCAATATGGTGAATAACAAACTTTATCCAATGGAGCAGTAAAAGTCAGCCACCTTCAGACTTTGGGGAATAAATATTGAAAGCCCAAGTTCTACAATTTACAGACAGCACAATCACTTTAAATCAAACTTTTATGCAAGACACAGCACGTAATTTTGACCTCAGGTGCTAAGAAGCACACTGACTCTATGCCTTTAGCTTGTTTTGTCCCCTTGAGCTGTTGTCTTCTGTTTTTATTGCATCAACTTGGGTTTAGATTCAATAAATTGGCCTCTTTTATGGCTTAAAAACTCTATAAATAATTTTAATCTAGGTTTACTCCATGGTCAGCTGGTTTTATTTTATTAAAGGACCTTATAAAGCAATAGCAAACGTGTAGAAGTTGTTGAATGGTTCTAGGGCCAGAGAGAGCTGACCGTTGTACCACTGCCAAAATATACATTGTTGTTTGATCTGGCCAGTTTTCAACTCAAAGCATGGCTCCAGCAGTTTCATTTGAATTAGGGCTAAATAATGAACATTAGGCACCAGTGCGGCCATGGCCCAGCCAGTCTTGTTGTAGATGAACTCCAAGTTGTTTCTGCGCAGATAGAGGAGCCCACCGACCAGAGACACCAGCAGAGCCAGAGCGATTGTACCCGAATAATTGGGTGGCCGGAAGACCCGAATCTAGAAAAAGAGAAAAAAAATAACAAGTATTTAACTTTTGACTGACACCTTATATTTAAGAAACAATGACTTGATCAGTGCCAGTGCTCTGTGAACAATGAATGCAACAATGAAGTGGAAGCAACAAAATCTGGCATTTTTGCACAAAGTTAACATGTCAAACTCATGTTAATATCACAGATAACAGTAGCTTAAGTCTGACAAGTGACCTAAAAATAAACACTAAAATATGTTATTAATTTGTTCTTACATAATTACATTATCATTTCAGCAATTCTAATAGTGTTTAAAAAAAATTGACAACAAAAGTAAAATTGATACTTATGGTCAGAGTATGGTAAAAAAAAAAGTATTATTATTATTATTATTAATTAACAACAACAACATTAAAACACAACAATTTATAAAGATACCCTACCACCACAAATAACTAACAAGTAAACAAATAATTATCAAACAGGAATGAACGAAAGAACGAACAAACAAACAAATGAATGAATAATTTGTCAGATATTGGTAAATGGACGTATGTAAAAATAGGTTTTAAGACATGAATAAATACATAATTTCTCAGAAATTGGTATATGTACCATCTGTACAAATAGGTTTTGAGACATGAAAAGAAGGTGACAGTATTCTGACAATTGCAACCAGTTATGTCTTTTCAAGACTGACAAGAAAATAATGAAGAAAAATCCATGAACCTCACTCCACTATCAAAACGATTTAGTAAACATTCAATTGTTAAATCACTGCAATCTCAAGGCCAACCTTCACCATAACGCTACAGCTCAAGTCAAGAACATGTCACTAGGCATAGTCTGAAACATGGAAAATTATGCCTTTAATTTACAAATGTCAATTTCTAAATTGCTTTCAACCACTTGATTTTTTCCTACATTGAAAGATGTGTTATAGCTTGAACATCTGACTTTTAATGAATCCTTTTCTGAGGAGGAAAACTTCACTAAAACCACTGCAGGGGAAGTCACTGACTGTCTGGGCAGCGAGGCAATTGCCTTAGGTTTCAGACACTGCCATTGTCTAGTGAACGCATTCATTCTGGAAAAAGGCTGCCGGTCCCTCCCTTCCCTTTTACAGTCTTTTCTTCGCCTTAGGACAAAAGTAGACCCAGAGGGCTACTAAGTCTATGACGCATTGGACACCGCATGATTCTCTATTTATGAGTGGTGTGATGCGAGACCCAGAGGGTTGTAAACACGTTTAGTGCCTGTCGTCCAAGGCCTTAATGTTTCCTTTCAAAACGTGTACTACAGCCTCTGCTGCTGCCTCCAAATCAGATCAGATTAATCTAGGATAAAAATGGCCGACTTCATCTATAATTCTGTCTACTCCAGGGGGTGAATGAGCACTGCTCCAATGCGCATAGACTGGTCGACAATGACTAATAGCTAATTGGGCTAATGGTATGGTAATGGTATGGTAGGTAAAAAAAAAATATATATAAAAAAAATAAAATAATAAATAAATAAAATAAAATAAAATAAAAGCAAATCAAATCAATTCTTTATATACACATTTGCTTTCTCTTTACTTTTTAAAAATAAAATAAAACATTAAATGAAATAAATAAAAAAATACAATCATTTTGATTCATATGTTATACTTGTATTCACTCTATTTTTTAAATGAAATAAAACAAATAAAATGAAAAATAATACAAAAATAATGCAGCCACTATAACTGCATTCTCTCTTCTTAAAAAATAAATTTCAAACATTAAAACATATTAAAATAAAAGGATAAAAAACAAAAACAATTAACACATTCATAATACTTGAATTCTCTACTTAAATAAAATAAAAAAAAAATATATATAATAAATCAAATAAGATTATATTTATAAAATAAAATTAAAAAATAAAATTAAATTAAATATTAAAAAATAATTTGATGCATTCATTATACTTTCATTCACTTTACCCTTTCCTACTTTTTAAAATAAATGACAAAGAAATAAGCCATGTCATATTACTTTTTTTTTTTTTTTAGGTTTAAAGGTTTTTCCTTTAGCCAGGATAAAAGAACAGAATTCACAAAGCAAAGGGTTTCCATGCCTTTACAGAAATGTGAAATGGACATGAATCAAAGATAACGAATCCAACTGCATGGAGGGAA